AATTGAGTAAGCCATTGAATATGGTAGTTGGTACAATACAGCACTCAAATGTGTATTGATTGATTTAATTTGTATATGATAATTGTTTATATACATTGTATTATGTGGGAGGAGAAAGGGGCTGTACTCCACGGTTTATTGGAAGAAATGGGCTGAACCTCTAAACTGAATCTTGTGACAGTGATACAGCACTACAATGTGTATCAGGCTGCGAATTAGAAATGTTTTCTTATGACAGTGATACAGCACTACAATGTGTATCAGGCTGCGAATTTGAAGTGTTTGTTTTGATTTGATATAGCACCAAAATGTATATCGTTATCAATTGTGAAGTATAGAAGTATTTCTATGTTATGTTGATACAGTACCAAAATATGTATCGCTCGTATAGTATGGAAGTAACTTACGTGTTATTGATACAGCACCAAAATGTGTATCCACCATGAATTTCGAAAATGTTTTAAGATGAGTCTTATTCTCATCAAGTTATTTGGCTAAGTTTAAGCCTTGTTTTCAAAGTCAAGGTTGAAAAAGAAATGAGAAATGAAATGTAACAAGGACTTAATGTCATGAAATCAAAATGTGATATATGTGGATGTATCTATGTTGACCATCTATCAACTGCTAATCTTTTAGTCATTGTTCATGGCTGGTTTAGTGTATTTCTACTGGGCTGTGGCTCACCCTTTATGAGACATCATTTTCAGGTACTGGTAGTATGTCACCTCCAAGGACGTAGCTTTGGAGGTAGATTTAGGCCAATAGTAAAAGAAATTTGTGAATCAAAACTCAAAACAGCTATAAAAACGTAAACTAACATTATTTTAATTGTGATTAATTTTGCTCATTGCAAGGGATGCAGATAATTATGGAACAGGACATATAAATGTGCAGAGACATGTAGGTAGATAATTGAAATAAAATATATAAAATGTTATTTCAAAACATAAATATTTTAGCAGAAATTACAAAAGAATAAAAAAAAACTCTCAAAGTTTGAGCCTTAGAACAAGGTAAATCCTGAGTTTTTAATTTTATCAATTTAAATCCTAAACTTTTAATTTATTTTCAGTCTAAATCATTGCTTATTTTTATTTAGTAAAATCAATTTAAATTTTAATCATTAAACTCAATATGTTTGAACATTTTATGTATATCTATATTGAGTTTAATAACTAAAATTATTTTAAAATAATTTTTTCTCGATTTTTATTTAACGAGAATGATTTAAATTAAAAATAAATTAAAATATTAGAGTTTAAATTCTTGAGTTTTTTTTTAAAAATTTATAATTATCCCTTTATTTTATCTTGCATCGCACAGCCAACTGGCAGTAAATCATAGGGGAAAAAAATGTAAAAAAGAGAAACAGAATATTTTAATTTAATTTAAGTAATTAATGACCGTACAATGCACGAGAATTTATTTTTAAAATGTAAAATTGATTTTGATTAGTATTATTTAATGTGTGGAAAATTTTAATAATTGAAAGCTAAATACAAACAAATTTGCTAATGGTTGAGGAAAATTTTTGTCATTATGTGTGATTCTAGATAAATGCTCATATAAACAATTTCTTTCAAAGTTTAAAAAAAAAAAAATTATATTCTCAACCTGAAATTGAATCCTTATTTGTATTAATAAAATTTATCAAAAATCATGAATTTTACTTGTATCAAAATATATTTTCCTGAAAAATAAATAAATAAAAATAACAAAAAATTCTATACTATTCAAGTTATGACTTGGTTATAATTCATCTTTGTTTTGACCATAAAGAAAAGAACCCAAAACTTTGAGAGCTAAAGGAACTCCTTTAGTGTACTTTACTGCACAATGTATAAGTTCTCCATAGCCTCCAATTTGTTGGTGATTCCTGAAGGCTTTCGATTTAAAGAGTTCTATACCTTCATCTTCTCCTAATTCCTCAACCTTATAAATGTGTGTTATGCCATATCTGATTAATGTATGTTGATTTCTAGTTGTTATAATGATTCTACTTTCAAAACCAAACCAATCAAGCTCTCCTACCAATTTTTCAAGTTCTATTGATTCATCCACATCATCAAGAACAATATGAACCTTCTTATGGCATACCCTGTTTCTTATCGTACTTAAGGCACTACCAATATTTCCTACTTTCAAATCTTTCTCCATTAAGATTTCGGAAATGAGTTGTTCATGTAGAGTTTTCAGACCACCTTTTTCTGAAACTTCTCTAACATTTTCAATGACGCTGCAACCTTCAAATTGGCAAGAGATATGGGCATAAATAGCACTTGCAAGAGTTGTCTTACCTATTCAACCCATCCCACATATCCCCACAACACGAGCATCATCCATCCCTAATCCTAGCAATTTAACCATTTCCTCCATACTAGAATCCATGCTTAAAAACAACGACGCACATATCAACATGTGGTTAACAACTTTAAATACGTTTCCCTCAACACTGGGAAATATTACAAAGAAAAGCAACTTAAGCATTTTCAAACAAATCCAGATATCTGGAGCCGAATTTCGCCTCCCGTTCCCACGTCGCTTCTTCAACTCCATGGTGTCTCCACAACACCTTTACCAACGGCATAGTTTTGCCCCGTAGCATTTGCTCCCGGGTATTTAATATTGGAACCGTCGTTCTTTTTTTTTCTTTTGTTGGGTGGGTAAATCATAAAATAAAGACAATAAATTGTACAAGTTTACAAGGGGCATACCCCAGGCATGCCCTACAATAAATAATAAACAACTGCAAAATAGTAGCATAAAACTACCACTACACACCCTACAACATGAAACCACCCTTGCAAAAGCGAGAGAACAACAACACAAGTACAATAAACCCCAAGTAACCCCTACCATCAAAGATAATAGATGGGAACTTGGGATGGATATATGGGCAATAAACAATATACACCATACGCTCATAAAACATAACAGACATACAGATAATACAAAAGTAACTAAACTAAACACCCAACAAGACCTATCGAAAAATGATAATCGCCAACGCTTGCTCCCAGTCTCTACCTCGGATGAAAACATGGAATTCAATAAGCATCTCGCTCCTCATAGCCGTCACATCTGAGCCACTTAATCAAAGCCATGACGAAGGGAAAAATATATCCCATGAAAAGATCCTGGCAAAGTCACATTAAGCCTGCATAGTCAATCACCATAATCAATGGTCTTGGGAAGTTTAGTGAAAACCAATAACCACCATATCAACAGACAAAGTTGACAACAATCCAATCGTGAGAATAATCACCACATCCCCCAATCCCTTCCTGAGCTGACCACAAGTCTCAATCCCCATGGTAGTGTCCCTTTCACTCAATGTCAAGAGTGGCTAACGATCAATCAAGATGGGTCACGTGAAGACAAGAGGTAACCAGAAATCCAATAGGCCACTCACCTTCCAGTCCCTAACTCAGCTAGCCATCAAATCACAATTCTCCATAACAGCAACTCCCCAATCACTCTTGGCAGAAATGACTCAATATCAACGTCATATAGAGTCACATGAAGATCACGCAATCAATCATCATAAACAAACCACTATAAACCATATACTACTGAGCTATGGTTGAACAAAAGAATACAATAAAAACCTTGGCCCGCCACCCAAAATAAACACAGTGGGCCGGAAAATTTGGCAAAAATTGAGTCCAATCAGAATAGCAGCATCAAAACCATGACCACCAAACATGCCCTACGTCTGCACCATACATGTTGCCTCTTTTTCCATACGTAGATGCCCACACAGTAAATTGTGACTGGCCAACCTTAAATTATAACCACATAACCAAAACCATGTGCTAGTTTTAAGCCAAAACCGTGGCCCAAAAGTGCACCCACGTGGACCCTCTTTCCCATGTGATATCAATATAAAAAAAAAACTTAGGTAACGGGAATCAACACCCACGTGACCCAGTTCACACCTCCATACACCCTGACAAAACAACGTGAGGTGGGTAAACCCTCCACGCGCTGTGACTTACGTAAGGCATACATCATCTTCTTCAATACCTTAACCCTCTGTAATTCCGGCGCTGGAGCTAGCTATACGAGCCAAGCCATTCACCAACCACCGGTGACACAACTGAAACTCCCATACACCGACGGTTGCAAGAAAAGAAAAGAAAGAGCCAGCCCTTCCATTCTCAGTACCAACGACGCTGGAGCAGGGATCCATCCTCACGCACTCCTTTTTTATCAGCGGCTTTGGAATATGCCGTTGTCGGAGAACACCGGAGAAGACCATCGGCACACACTACGAAACCAACCACAAGTTGCTGAAATACAGTCTAGTGACCTTCAATGTCGACAGCACCCAGCAAAAATAAACCATGCTGCCGAACATCAACTATATCAAATCAGTCGGACAACCTGCCAACAACTGGTCCGACGTCGATGAGAGCGCTACTTGAACATGACAGCGACAGCAGCACCAACATGCTTAAAAACCCATGAATCACTGCCAGCGAAGGTGCTAACCCGCTACTGGAAATACTGTAGCAACGTCGGCTAGTAGCAACCCCCGACGACACACAACGACCTACGAAAACACTTCAAACCTATATAAATCTGGACAAATTAAGACCAGATACAGCAACAACACACAACAACATCCAAACCAGACAAAGAATCTGATAAGGAAACCTCAAAACTCCATAGGTAACAACGGTGGGAGCTTTCTCTCTCTAGATTCTAGAGAGAGAACTCCACCTAATCTCTTTTTTTTCCTTTTTTAAACTAGAAATCGGTCGTTTTTCGTAAGAGGTGAGAGGGTGATTTATGATCTGGAGTTGGGCCGAGATATCGACCGAGCAGGTTGAAAGCCCAGCAGTGCATTGGGCAAACCTATATAAATCTGGACAAATTAAGACCAGATACAGCAACAACACACAACAACATCCAAACCAGACAAAGAATCTGATAAGGAAACCTCAAAACTCCATGGGTAACAACGGTGGGAGCTTTCCCTCTCTAGATTCTAGAGAGAGAACTCCACCTAATCTCTTTTTTTCCTTTTTTAAACTAGAAATCGGTCGTTTTTCATACTTCCTTAGCATAGCTATATGAAATTCGTTGTGAACTCCAAAAAGTCGTGGCGGTAAAGCTAACCAGAATGCCACTTTGCCAATTCACTGTAAGATCTCAAAAGGCCCAATGAACCTTAGAAATAATTTACCACTCTTACTAAATCTCATCAAACCCTACCTTGGTGAGATTTTTAGAAACACATGGTCACCAACTTCAAAAGATAAATGTCGTCTCCTCTTATCGGCATAACTCTTTTGTCAGCTTTAGGCCGTAGCTAACCTCTTTCGAATGAGAACAACTTTCTCGGTTGTCTCTCTAATAATTTCCGGACCCAGTAACGGTGCATCACCCACTTCGGCCCAACAAACCAATGATCTACACGGTCGGCCATACAAGGCCTCAAATGGTGCCATCCCAATACTAGCTTGGTAACTATTGTTGTAAGCAAACTCAATTAATGGTAAGTGCCTTTCCCAAGGCCCCTTAAAATCAACGACACAAGCTCTAAGCATGTCCTCCAAAAGCTGAATGGTACGTTCCGACTGTCCATCGGTTTGAGGATGATAAGCGATGCTAAGAGTCAACTTAGTTCCCAACGCCTCTTGAAGGCTTTGCCATAACCGGGCAGTAAAACGAGGATCCCTATCCAACACAATAGTCACAGGGACTCCATGAAGTCGAACTATCTCTCTAATGTACAACTCTGCCAACCGTTCAACTGAGTCGCTGGTGCACATCGGAATGAAATGTGTAGACTTAGTCAACCTATCAACAATCACCCAAACGACATCATTGCCTTGTTGTGTTCTAGGAAGCCCAACTACAAAATCTATGGTAACATGCCCTCATTTCCACTCGACTATCGGTAAGGGTTGTAACAAACCCGCTGGTCTTTGGTGTTCGGCCTTCACTTGTTGACAAGTAAGGCACTTCGATACAAATAAAGCGACATCCCATTTTCATACCCCTCCACCAAAACTGATGACTAAGATCATGATACATTTTAGTGCCTCCCAGGTGTACCGCAAGGCTTGAGTGATGGAATTCCCGAAGTACTTCCTCTCTACAAGATTCTGGTACAAACAAATGATCTAGGTAACGTACACTCAGATCCGAGTGAACGTTCAAACCTTTCTCTTCCTTCCCATTGGAAATCTTAACACGGATTGATTCCACATCACGGTCTCTTCGTTGTACCTCTATGACCTTACTAACCAAGGTAGGTTGAGCATTCAACGTAAACAAGGTAGTACTCTCTCCGGACTCACCCAAGTGCAAATCAAACTTGCCAACAACATCTAGCACATCCCATTCCCGAATGGCCACACTTGCCAAACTACTCACAGATTTTCGACTCAAAGCATCAACTACCACATTGGTTTTTCCCGGATGATAGTGTAACTCAAAGTCATAATCCTCCATAAATTCCATCCACCTCCGTTGTCGTAAATTCAAGTCTTTTTGAGAAAACAAATACTTTTTTTTTTTTGGTGGGTAAGTCATAAATTAAAGTTAAAAATTTACACGTTTACAAGGGACATACCCCAGGTAATATAACAAATCCTCATATCCCCCAAAAAGGGAAAACAAATACAAAATAATTAATTTAAAAAACACTCCCACATCAACAGGTAAAAACAAATACTTTAGACTTTTATGATCGAAGAAAACCTCAAACTTCTTACCATACAAGTAATGTCGCCAAATTTTTAAGACAAAAATCACCGTCGCTAATTCTAAATCATGGGTGGGGTAATTCTTCTCGTGAGTTTTCAATTGTCGTGATCTGTAGGCCACAACTTTTCCCTTTTGCATCAAGACACAACCAAGTCCATCCCCAGACGCATCACAATAGACAGTGTAATTCAAACCCCTTTCCGGAATTATCAAAACCGGTGCTGTAGTCAATCTAGTCTTCAGCTCTTGGAATGACTTTTCACAAGTCTCACTCCACACAAATTTGATACCCTTTCTAGTCAACCTAGTCAAGGGTGCAACTAGTTTAAAGAAGTCCCTTACAAAACGTCAATAATACCCCGTCAATCCCAAAAAACTCCGAATTTCAAAAACATTCTTGGGTTGTTCCTAATGCTGTACGCCATCTATCTTTGAGGAGTCCACAGTCACTTCCTCTCAGACACTACATGCCCCAAAAACTTCACCTCCATTAACCAAAACTCGCATTTTGCAAATTTGGCATACAATTAGTGCTCACTAAGTAAACCCAGCAATACCTGCAAGTGAGTCTCGTGTTCCTCTTCAGAGGTTGAATAAATCAAGATGTCGTTCACAAAGATGACCACAAAACAATCCAAGTATTCCCAAAAAATTTTGTTTATCAAATCCATAAAGGAAGCCAGTGCATTGGTCAACACAAAATGCATTACAAGGAATTCATAGTGGCCATAACGAGTACGAAAGGCCGTCTTCTGAATGTCCTCCTCCCGGACACTCAATTGATGGTACCCCGACCTCAAATCTATTTTTGAGAAACAACGAGACCCTGTAAGTTGGTCAAACAGATCATCTATTCTGGGTAGGGGATACTTGTTCTTAACTGTAACTCTATTCAACTTACGGTAATCAATACACAATCGCAATGACCATCCTTTTTCTTTACAAAGAGAGCCGACACTCCCCAAGGCGATGTACGAGGGCGAATGAAGCCCTTGTCTAAAAGTTCTTGGAGTTGAATCTTCAACTCATGCAATTCGGCGGGTGCAAATCTATACGGTGACATGGAAATCGGTACTGTGCCAGGCACTAATTCAATAGAGAACTCAATCTCCCGGTGAGGTGGTAAACTAGTAAGATCTTCTAGAAAGACATCCGAGTATTCACAAACTACCCTTGGTAACGCAACACGAGCCCCGTCACTCTCACTATCCAAGAGAGTTGCAAGAAGGCCACTAAGCTTGCTCCTACTACGAGGGTCAACAGCTGGTGACAAGGCTCTATCAGCTCGGTTTCCCATAAAATAAAAATGATCACCACCCGAAGTGCACACCGTAACTCTCTGACGGTAACAATCAATCATAGCTTGATAAGAACACAACCAATCTATGCCTAAAATGACATCAAAACTCGACATATCTAGCAACACAAAAGTAAACGAAAGTCGACGCCCTGCAACTTCTATTTCACAATCACGACAACCCCGGTCTAAATCAACTGTACCCCCAACAGGTGACTCTACTCTAATTGGAGGCAATAACCGTGCTTGTCACGACCCCATTCCGCCCTTAGTAGAATGGTGCCATGATGGCTAGT